CTTGTTCAGCAGGTCAAAGGGTAATTTGAAGACTTTGAAACCGTCTCCCTTTTTATCACCAAGTTTTGTTCTTCCAAGAGTCCAAAGGATTTTCAGGATGATAGCTCCTGAAGGATGGCTCCATCTAAGGAAAATGTGAGCAGCAGACCTGAGTCACTGCAAGAGGCTTTTTTAGATGAAAAAAACCCCAATGATCTAAGTCTAAATCAGAACCTTAATTAATCCTTATCTATAACTAACTAAAAGACTAAGTTTAGTGGGTATTAAATACACTGAGATTGATAGGATTGATATTCAGCTCCCATACCAGGATGAAAACGCTCAGTTCTGTATTTCTAAAGTTAAAAAAATTTTACTAACTTCAAACCAGAAAGGTATCCGTACACAAAAATATACAGTGTGTGCTATTAAAAATTGCCCTTTAACTGAAAGAGTCAATCTGTCCCAGAGTTAATCCCTGCTTTTAAAAGAGGGAAGTCACTTCCAACTGCTCAGCGATGGTACTGTGAATTTGTAGGACAGCATAATGAAGCATGGGGTAATGTAGGCTCCTTAACAAAAATTCACAGCTACTTCTTATTTCTGTGTAAAATTTTAATCCTCAGAGATGCTATGCACAGGGGGAACTTCTTCTGCACCTTTCTAATATGAATTTATTCACTGTTTATATTTTCCCGGTACTTTAAATCTCTTGAGTAAAGCAGGAAGAAAAGAAAAAGTTCACCCCTAAAATCTTAATTTCTTACTAAGGTACCTAAATGTAATAAATTTCAGTTGAATCATAGAGTGGACAAGAATGCATACATCTTTATTATTTTTTTAAAAGAAGGCAGGGTGTATATATTCAGCTGTGGGGGAGTTATAGGGTTGCAGCTTCTCAGTGAAAAAAGATTAAACTGTCTTCCCCTTGCAAGTTCACCTTGACACGATGAGCAGCTCTGACCCAAACTCCTGGGAGTAGAACAGTCTCACAGGTGTGAGGACTAGGGAGAGGAGATAACTGAGATGTGTAGCTGCATTTTCAGGTTTGTGGTGAAGTGACCCAGAGTTTATTGTTCACTGATCTACTCCTTGACAGCTTTAAATCAGAGAGTATTTTTCTGTTGCTTTTCTTTTCACACACGCAAGCCTCCAGCTCTCTTTTGGTTCATCCTGATAATCATAGAGAGGAATGTTACAAAGTTTACAGTCTAGGTTTTCAAGTGGAAAGAGTCTAAAGTAAATCAGAGATAAAGGTGTTGCTGTAAGAACCGTTTGCTTCATGTGTCCTCCAGGTTAATTGAGCTCCATGTCCTTGCTGAAAACAGGCTATTTCCTACAAACAGAACAAAGGAAATTGTACAATTAGATCACCGCTGTCGCTTCTACTTTTTGAGCTGCAGGTTTTGTCCTCTCTGCCACGTCTCCTCAGCCGTGGTAGGAGCTGGAATACAGGCTATTCCCGTGGCAAGGAAGTCTGACACCTCCTTGGAAGCTGCAGTGCCATTTCAGTCCAGTTGCTAAGGGATGCTCGAGCGAGATGTCGTCTGAGTCTTCTCCTCCAAGTGAGCACATTGGTTTGGTCACAACTCCACCCCCACAGTCCACAGCCAAAAGTTTACGAGGTCATGCTCACTGTGGACAGCGAGAGCCCATTAGGAGCTGCACAACTGTCCCACTGAAAACTAATTAACCATTTCTTCTTTTCTGGAGGCGTCCAAAGCGCTCAGTGCTTCAGCTCACTAACAAATGTGCATTGTTTGCAGTAAGGGTGTTTGTCACCTGGAGGGTTTGGAGGAAAGCTGTGGGGGTAAGATGGGCATCTGATCTGTGTATAAAGCAGTGTCCTTTAATACCGTATTTGCAATTCTTAGTTAGTTAGACTTTTATCACAGGGGCACTATGCCCATACATATAGTTATTTTATCTTTGAATTATTTGTTCCTAAGACTGTAGGTTCTTCAGAAGTAAGTTTTAATTTTATGGTGAATTAAGGTCAGATTTTTCCTACACTTACCCTTCTGATATAAGGAGTCTTGTGAAACTGAAGTTCTTGGAAACTGAAGTTCATTTTTACAAGATGGAAGCTAATGGAACTAGTTTCAATAAGAAACACAATTTACTCTAAAGACACATTAGCAGCATTATGTTATTTAAACAAATAAAAAAGAGTGAGAACAGCTAATGTGTTGGTATGCTCACTCTCCAAACGATGTGCTCCTAATCAGGACAGCACTGAAAAAACTCCTGGCAGTTCAGTGGGTTTGTGAAGTATGGGTGGTGCCTTAAGTCTTTTGTCCTGTCATATTTCAGAAAGACAAAAAAGTCTGTAATTGCTGATAGGTTTCACAATTTGGGAATTCTCTTTTTGTTTTCTGTACTTTTGACACTTTCACACTTTAATAACACTTGTAGTACAAGGAGCTAATTCTTAATTCTGTTGTAAGTAACTGGGAGCTTTGTGAATTAGCTGAGTGTGTTTTTCCTTTTCAGCTACCCCATGCTTTGTTCAGCCCAGAGACAGAGGACAGGGTATGTGCAGCAGGAGGGCAGCGATTCCTGTTGGAGTTTAACCTCGCAGAGCCTGTCCGGGTTGTGTTTGGGAAGGGGTGGGTGTGCACTGCTGGACAACAGCATTTACACAGCCATGACTCCCTTGTCCGTGGATGCTTGGGCATATTTACTACTCCCATTTCCCTGCACTAAAGTCACTAACCCAGATTTTAGCCTTTTGTATATCTGCAGCAATGATTTTTGTCTTGTTTGTGTGTATTCACGTTTGGGCTCCCTTCTCCCCAGCTGGGACCCACCAAAGCCTGGAGGTTGGGGCAGATTTTCCCTGCTGCGTGAGGTGGCAGATACTGGCATTTCTGCATTCTCTTCATACTTGAAACCATAAAAAAAACTATGAGGTTTTATAATTTTCAGTCTGAATTCTGCTTTACTGACTCCTTTTTATGCCTTGTAAACTCCACAGTTAAAATATATTTGATTATTGCGTATTACAGGGAAACTATACAAATAAATAAAAGACCTATAAAAGATACAAGGAATTATTATGATCTTTGCTTCAGATGAGTCTGGGCATTGCTGAGCCAAATCTCTCTATGACTTTCTGAAACTGCCTCAGCCTAAAACAACACCTGGACACATTGGTAAGAGTCTCTCCAGTAACTCCAGAACTTTCAAACTCTGTGTATCCCAAAGTTCTGGCATTTAAAAATAGACTGAAAGTGCCAATAACTCCTCAAAGACCACGATGTGGTTGTGATGTTCCTTGTTTCTTCTGAGGTCCACCCCTCTTTCATCAAGGGCAGCTCCACAAGTGTATTTGATGACATTAACTGTGACCTCCTAGTTGTTTGTTCTATTCACATAATTATTTTACTGTAGATGTTTCTAAACATAGTAACTGGGTGATGTAAGAAGGTGTGTTCGTGGGAACAGTGTTGTAGATAATTGAATTTTGCAAAAAGGTTAAATAATATTTGTATAGTTAAGGACATTTCACTAATCTCAGAGGGAGGGTTACAGAGAAAAAAATACCTGTGTATTTTAGGGAACTGACTTATAGGAAGAGCAAAGTGCCAACCTTTGTTTTCCAGGTGTAGCTGATAAGTTGTGTAATTTTTGTAACGAGGTTTCCAAAACATATTTTAGAAAAGAAAATGGAGATAGACAGCTGGTAAATCCATACAGAGGAGCAAGTGTGTGCATCCAGTTGTACTCCACTGCTGCACACAGGCATCCCCTGGTACCATGAGGCCCCTGTCCCAACGGGGATGGACAGAGATGGACAGGGACAGGCAGGGATAGATGGGCAGTGACAGGCAGAGATGGATAAGGCTGGGACAGGCAGGAATGGATACGGCTGGGATGGGATGGCATGGGATGGGATGGGATGGATGGGCTGGGATAGATAGGGCTGGGACAGACAGGGATGGGATGGACTGGGTAGGGATGGACAGGGACAGGCAGGGATGGATAAGCCTGGGACAGGCAGGAATGGACACGGCTGGGATGGGATGGATGGGCAGGGATGGATAGGGCTGGGACAGGTGGGGATGGACGGGGATGCACAGGGACAGGCAGGGATGGACAATGCTGGGACGGGTGGGGAGGGACGGGGATGCACAGGGACAGGCAGGGATGGGCAGCCCCTCACCAGGCTCCGCAGGGACTCCACAAACCCGGCGGATCGCGGGGTGCGAGGGAGCTGCCCCGCGCCCGGGAAGCGCGTTTACCCAAAAACCCTCCACAAACCAAACCGTTCAGTCCCACAACTCCTACATTAATTATTTTCAAGTGTACCACACAGCGCCGCGGGGGCACGACTCCCTTAACACTTTATTCACAACTCTACTAACTCCAAGCCCAACTCTCGGCGTTTTAGGGGCTGTTTCATCCCGAAGTGCGCCCTGGCCGCGGGGGGCGGCGGGTCCCGCCGGGGGTTGCGGGGCAGCGGCGGGGCCGGTTCGAAGAGGGCGCCGGCGGCGGCGCGGGGTGACGCGGGCATCATGTGAGCGGCCCCGCTCGCTCCCGGCGTGCAGTGTGGGCCCGCTCGCCCCACCCCGCGCTCCGCCGCCGCGGAGCCGCTCAATAGGGGAAGGGGAAAAAAAAAAAAAAAAAAAAAAAAAAAGGGGGGAAAAAAAAAAAAAAAAAAAA